AAAAACTAACCAAATCTTCCTAATGTAGAAATTTCAAATCTCTCCTTGTGCATGTTGCAAGTAATGCATCTGTAGATCCAGTTCTCGAGCGAGAGAGCACCCACATATCATGCACTGGAGAAGTCGTTCCGGGGCAAAAGGCAAACGGGGTCCGAGTTTGTGAGGTTCTGTCCGAGGGGTGAGTTGAGGTAGGGGCAGGGTCTGTGGCATGTGGGGCCTCTCACTCATAATTGCCTGTGGTGCGAAAAAGATTTTGGGGTGTGGAGGTCTTGGAAGTGCACCAACTGCGATAGAGTGAAGAGGGTGGGAGCCAGGCAAAGCAAGAGGAGGGAGGGGAGCAAGTGACGGGGAGAAGAAAGGCGAGGGCTGATTAATGATTATTTGAGTGCCTGTTACTATTGGTTGTTGCTGTAGCTCTGGTCCATTCCCTGGTTTGAGTTGCCCAGTGAGCAGCGTTTGAGGACCCACAGGATTACTTTGGAAGCCCCATACTGAAGTTCCTATCCCCTGGCCAAAACGATGTGGCTCATATTGAATGGAGATGGGAACCTTCTGTGACGCTGACTGACTTTGTATATTAGTCCAGCCAGATGACACCTGCTTCTGCTGCAGCTGAAAATCTTGATTTACTAATTTCTCAGAGGAATTTTTAGTCTTTGGAATTCCTGCTGCTGTTTTTATGTCCCACAAGGTGCTACCTAATGCAAGAGAAACAGGAGTCGAAATTGGCATAGCACTGCTTTGGTCTTTTTGAGCTGATGCACCTGCTAAGCCAGATGCCCACTGCTTCTCCGGCTGGCTAACAGTCGACGGTATAACTTGAGGATTACTCATGTCCCACACTCTATTGTCCTCTTTTTTAGGAGCTGTGGATGGCTCTTTTTGTGTTGCTCTCCAAATTAGCTCGTGACCGAGCTTATTTGGAATGCTTTGTGAATTTGGAGAGGGTCTGATGCTCCACAGAGCCGCCCCGTCAATGTAGGAGGGAATAGAAAAATCATGTTGCAGGGAGCTTGTGGAAGCTAGCACTGTGGACGTGGGTGCGTTGCTCCATGTAATAGGCTTGGGCTGCCTGTGATGCTCCATCTCGCTCACTGCTAATGGACTGGATTTTTTTGGCACAGATGCCAGGTGGGAGCTGACAGTAGAAGCTGTGCTCTCTTTCACATGTGACGAATCTAAGCTCTGAGCCGATGCAGGGCCTAGCTGAGTTATCAGAGGGCTGTCTGCCCAGCCTGGACTCTGATGGTGCTGCTGCAGACCTGCCTGCAGCGGGCTGTCAAGCTGTGCCTGCTGTGGAGCTGCGTGTTGCTGCTGTGAAGATGGGACTGGCATGACTTCTCCACCGTCCACCTTCCACTGCACCGGCTGAGTGTGCAGCTCAGACATCCACGGATCCTTTTGCTGCCTGCTTTGTAAATCCATGTGTGGCGAGACCATGGAAGACTGTGGCTGCACTGCCCTTCTGTGCAACTCAGGGTCACTTAGTGCAGAAACTGGAAATTGAGTTGGCTGAGAATTAAGCGTCCCTGAGCCTCCTAATGGTCTGGACCAGCCCCACATGAGCCGCCCCCCTCTCCTCCCCCTGCTACCCCTTCCTCTCATCCTAGCACTAATCGCAAGAGAATTATATTGGCTGAAACCTTGGCGCTTGCGAGCATGAATTTTCTGGTGAACTAGCAGGCTACTGAACCAGGAGAAGGTTTTGTGACACTCATCACAGCGATGAGGCCTCTCTCCTGTGTGTGTGTTCATGTGATCACGGAGCAGATAAGCCAACCCAAAGCTCTTATCACACAGGTGACACTTGTGAGGTTTGTCACCATTGTGCGACAGCATATGCTGCTGCAGCTGGGTCTCGTCGCTGTAGCCTTTGCGGCAGCTGGTGCAGCGGAATGGTTTCTCCTGATGCAGCTTTTGATGGGTTCTCATGTTCTGCAGGAAGGCGAAGTCCTTCCCACAGTCGGGGCATTTGTATGGCTTTTTGCCAGTATGAATGATGACATGCTGCTGCAAGTAGCTACTGAATCTAAAGCCTTTGCCACATACTTTGCACTGGTAAGGCTTGTCCTTGGAATGTATGCGCATATGCAGCTCTAACACTGAGCGGTGGCGGAACGTTTTTTCACACTCTGAACATTTGTGCGACTTAATACCTATGCCATCACTTTTCCATTTTTCCTGCACATTGTCACTACTTTGCAGATTCAATAGATTTTTAGATGGTGCTGCCACCTTTTCTAAATATGCTACAGTCTTGTGGACACTTAACAGGTGTATATTTAAACTGGATTCATCACGATAAATACACGGGCAGTGTGGACACGTGTGTCCTTTTTCCCAGTGCTTGCTAATGTCTTTTGGGGGTTTGGGTATTCTGTCCAGCGTCTCATACTCTGCCTCGTGAATGAGCATGTGGGCTCTCAGGTTAGCTGGTGAGCTGTAGGTCTGAGAACAAAGAGGGCATCTGAATGTGCGTTTTGTTTCCTCACTTTGGTGCGAATTCTCTTTTCCCAGCACTTTTACTTCCTCCTGTTCTGGCACAGGCCCCGGCTTGCAGGACTGCTCAATGGGGGAGTTGGTTTCAAGCAGTCTATGCTGGCGGCAATGGGCCTTCATGTTCTGGGCGAAGGCAAATTTTTTACCACATTCAGGGCAGCGGAAGGGCTTCTGGCCCGTGTGTAGATACTGATGCTGATGGAGGAGGCTGCTATACTTGAAGGTCTTGCCGCAGATGGTGCACAGGTGAGAGCGCGTGCTGTCTGTGTGCTTGCGACGGTGGTCTTCCATGACAGAGTAGTGTTTGAAGACCAAACCGCACTCTGGGCATTCATAGGGCTTGAGGGCGGTGTGACATCGCTGATGATAGCGCAGGGCGATATTGTTTGGAAAGCTCTGATTGCACTCTTGGCACGTAAACATGCTCTCCTGGGAGTGGGTCATCATGTGCTTTGTGATAGACACCTTAAACTGGAAATCTTGGCGGCACAGGGGGCAGTGATAAGGCTTTTCGACTGTATTGCTGCAGCTGTGGTCCCTCAGCTTATCCACTGTGGAGAAGAGCCTTCGACATTCTGCACATTGAACACTATCCTCTTCCTTCGAATGCACCTCCTTCTTTGGAGTAACAAGTTCCTCCTCCTTCTCTTTGTGTTCATTTCTGTGTTTGATGAGGCTGCTGCGGTGCTGAAAGGTAAGGCCGCATTCTTTACAGGTGAGGGGCGTGAGCTCGTCCTCGTGCGCATGAAAGTGGCGGTGAAGGTTGAAAGTCTCACGCCGGTTGAACCTCATGCCGCACTCCTTACACACCAGACGGCACTTTTTTTGCTTGGCTGCCAGATCAGCATCCTCCCCTCGATCTGCCTCCTCGTCGTCTTCCACCACCTCCTCCGTCCTGTCTGCGTCTCCCACCTGCTCCTCAGGCACTTCCTTCTCTGTGCTCCTCTGCAAGTTCCGCTCCTCAGGAACCTTCTCTGTGCTCCTCTGCTCCTCAGCGACCTTCTCTGTGCTCCTCTGTGAGTTCTCCTCCTCAGGCACCTCCTTCGATTCAGCAGCTACATTGTCATCAACATGTGCGTCCTGCTGCACTTTATCAGCGCTTTCAGTAACATTTCTGAGGTCTGGAAGAGGGAAAAAAAGGCATCATAATAGTTAGAACTAATAATAAACAAACATATGCAGCAATCTCAATGTTGATAACCAAACAAAGTGCGTGCAGCTAACACATGTAAGTACAGATAACAACTGCAGGATGCTATTGCTAGCTTGGGTTTGTTATGACAAGTAACGTTAGCAGAGTTGACAGGATGTACTGAACCTTTAGTGGGGGCTACAGCCCAGGTTAGCCGGAAAGCTAAAGCTAATAGTAAAATTCATTATCAACGTTAGCATACCACACTTATCATTTTCCTCCTTGTGTGATTTCGCCTCCTCTTCCTCCTCCTCCTCCTCCTCGCCGTCGTCTTCGGCTTCTGACCAGTCGAACGCCCGTTGCTCGCTCCCCGCCACCTCGGCCATTTTTCCGGCCGTCGTCTGGTCCTCCAGTGAATTACATGTCGTTTTGTCTGCTCCAGCACCGGACTCGACACTAACCCCAGAATGGCTGGCGACACCGCCGCCGTCCTCTCCCGCACCGACTCTCCGCTCATCGCCGCGGCTCTCGGTGCTTTCGCTCCGTGTCGGTTCGACTTTCTGCTTCAGGCTGCGTCCGTACTCCGCCGCCTCGCTCCTCTCCGCACACGTCTCCACATCCTCCGCAGGGTATTTCTGTCGTATTGGAGACTCCGGCGGGTCTACGGCGGCCATGTTTCACCCATGCACCCCCTCGTCCAGAGCACACAGATCATGCTAGATGCTAACCAGCTGAACAAGGAGGCAGACTTCCGGCTGAGACTTTCACAATAAGACGGTCTCTACTGACAATTGGCCGCGGCTCATTACTTCACAAAACATAATTGGACGCGTTAAGTGATCGTTTCCTTTTCTGCTCCTGCTGTGGTTTTGTTGTTTAACACACCAAACACTTTCCTCACAACTTAATGAATCAAACATTCATAAACTTTTCAGCACAACCATCAACAATAATATAACTTGTTTTACATGCTCAATGACAAATCCACAACTGAGGTGCTTGATTTATTTGCAGTCAGTGTCTGACTTTTATTAAATTTGAGTTACATTTCAGAACATTTGCTATCTACAAAATATAGCTTGTGCAAAACTATGTAGATGGCCATATGCTGTTTATTAGCAACAATCTAGAAACACATCCATCATACTGCATGCAAGATTATAATAATAAATAGCCCCTACATACATGTGTATGCTTTTAAAGTCCACTAGAAACATATGAAGGTTAGTCTGAAGCCTACTGGGAGGTTTACGTCTGATGGGTTGTGTTTTTCTTGTCAGCAAATCTGTTATTTTTTAATGTAACATTTTTGTCTCAAAACGCACTGAACAGAACACATTCTAACTTTATTGTCCAGCCAAAGCTGGAAAAGTATGTATCATGAAACTGTTAAAAAAGCACAAGCATACGTTATCAGGTCATTACAACAGCTGTATAACTACAATATATGGTAACAACTGCAGATTACATGTACTTAGGACAATGCAGTTAGTGTATCAGGAGAGCTGAGACAGTACTGAACCAGTAAGAGCATCATGAGCTTTGCAGCACTGCTGCAGATCATGTACAGTGACATGCATATTAAACAGCACCTACAGTATGTGGTTGTCAAGATGTTGAAAGTCACGAGTGCAGCTGTCACTCCACAGAAGTCTTTTAGCACATGTTCATATGTAAGGAACCAAGATAATGTTAAGGCCATACCATTATCTCATATGTAAATTTCTTATCTGTTTTAGTCCATCAGAGACAAACTTAAGTGCAAGATGAATCATTAGTTTGGAGCAGGAAGTCAAACTCCAAACAACTTTTTACAGAAATACTGTCAGTAGAAAAAGAGCATACTTTCTAGTCACATTTTGAAATTCCACATAAGCAGAATGTGCACTTTGAGTTTTTAAGTACTTTGTTCTCAACGCCGTCTTCTGCGTCTGTGATCGACAGCTCGTCCTCGCCGTGGCCTCTGCACACTTCCGTTTGTGTTTGTGGGTGGATCAGAGGGAAAAGTGCCACGTATGTCAGCGGATGATGGAGAAGGTTCCACCGCTAACGCTGACGGATTATTAGGATGCTGGGTGACCTGCGGTTGCTGCTGTATTTGTGGTTGTGGCTGTTGTTGTACACCATGTGACTGCTGCTGATGCTGGAGCTGTGACTGCTGTGGTGTTTCAATACGCTGCTGTTGTTGTTGCTGCTGCTGCTGATGTTGTGGTTCTATAGGTTGCAGCTGCTGCAGACCTGGCTGTGCCTGTAAGTGCTGTTGCGAGGTTTGTGATTGATGCACTTGTGGGACCCGATGTTGCTGTGGTTGTTGCTGGGCCTCAAGCACTCCTAGCAGCCTTTGTAAGAGGACGTTGTTCTGTTGTAGACTGACTGTTAATGCCTCTTGTGAAGCAACAAGTGTTCTCATGTCCTGTCGGAAACCGTCCCCAAAATCCTGTAGACTCTTTTCAACCCTATTTCCCAGTTGTATTGCTGCTTCCCCTAAACCTCGCAGCTCATCTTCCAGCCAGGAGCTGCGTGGAGGGGCTTCAAGAGGACCCTGCTGGGCTCCAAGCGATGGCTGAGGACTACTGGGCTGAGGGCTGCCATTGAGGAATGGAGCACTGTATAGTGGGGAAGGAGGCAGCCATCGTTCGGATGGAGGGGGTGGCCCGATTCCTAGACCCAGCCCTAATCCCAATTTGTCCTCCATGCTGTTCTCTACTGCTTCACATTCAGGTTCCCCCATATCTCTCTCACGTTCTTGATTGTCCTCGTCTTTTTCCAAACCATCTCTCTCTGATCCTTCCATACCTACACCTGAAAAAAACATTTAAGGAGACATAAACACGGTGGATATTAGTTGCATCTGTAGACTCTACAAAAACATTCAACTGAGTATTTAGAAAACTAATTTTTACCTGTATCAGAGTCAGGGAAACATGGAAAACTGGGCTTTGGTCGAGTGTTTTGTTTTTGTCTGGCTTGCTGAAGCCTGGGGCTTGACTGCGAAGGACGTCCAAGCATTGAGGCACCTCTGCTGGATGGCAAGTAACAGGTTCGATGCCGGGCATCTGCCAGCCTGCCACCATTCCGCCTCTTTAAGTCATCCCAGCGCTTCTTCACCTCTCGGAGGGTGCGCGGGACTCTGGATACTGCATTGACTCTCTCCAGGATTCCTGCCCAGATGCGCTCTCTCTCCCGCCGCCGGAGCCTCCCCGCAGGACCAAAGAGCTCTCCCTCACACCGAGTAACTTCTGACACCAACACCTCCAGCTCTGCTCCACTGAAACGACTCTTTCTTTTTCCAGCACCACCAGCAGCCAGCGCAGCTGACATAGCCCTGTCTGTAGAGAGATGGGTAAGAACACAACCCAAAGAGAGAGGAAAATAAAGTGAGGCTAAATAAATAAGCTTTTGAGTTTTTTTTTTTACTGTGCTGAGCCAAAATATATATTTAACTATTACTACTTTTGGCAAGCCATGGATCACTAAGAATTAATGTATTTATCCTTCTGTACATCTGTTGTGCAATAAAGTGTATATACACACTCTTCCTATTAGCATCCACAAATAAACAAGGTAATAGCTGATGCTGGTTTCCCATAATATTCTTAATCCGATTGAGGCTTACTTTGCTCGATGGACAAGAGGTCATCTGAGGACATGCCAGGTGCCATGATGTTCGGATGCACCACTACCACGTTGAAGGGGAGCCCCCCAGGTAATCCAGTGCTCTGGTCACAGCTGCCCTCCGAGTCGTCATCCTCCCTGGGGAAGCCGTTTTCTGAGGCTCCCCCTCCAAAGGGTCCCTCTGGAGACTCCACTTTGATGTGCATGGGAGGTGATTGCTCGTACAGCAGCCCCCCCTCCTCGTAGTACTCAGTCATGGGTCAGACCTGATTTACAGCAGAACTGACTGGCGGGCCAATTCTGATCGGGACAGCTGCCTCCCCATCCACACGAGTTCACGGTATAACTGAGCCTGCTGCTGGAGACATGACTCTACAGTGTACAGCGTCAAACTGCTATGGGCTGTGAGTTAAAGTATCTGTTAATGTTTTTTTAAAACTTTTCCTCATGTGAATCAATTCATGGCTGCAGCTCAGAGGGAGATTCAGTCATGTAGGGTATGACTGGAGCAGTGAGTCCTCTGGCAAGCTGCAGCCACTTTAATCCATTTCAGTCATCTTCATGTATGCTGATGTGCAACAGAAAACATCTGCACACCGGGTTTAAAAACACCTGGAGCGGACTGGCGAGCTACATCTCACCGGCCAGCTGTTTGACAGTGAGAAGCATCATCCAGGCAGAGCATCGCCTCCAGAGCTGAAATGCAACAACAAAACATAACACTGCTTACAACCGCGTCGCATTGTCACACAGCCACGTTCGCATTTCTCGGCGATGGCGGCTTCTCTATTCTGTCGCATCGATGCGCATTTTCGTCTGCACCACGTCCGCAACGGTTGCGCATTCCGCATACATTAGGTGCTGATCTTGCAATGGAGCTAGCTGTTAGCTGTTAGCCTCGGGTGCAGCGGCGACTCTATGTGGGGTGTCAGTGGGAGCTGTGCGCAGATGAAGAGAAAGCGGACACTGTTGTGCGTCTCTTACCTCGTGATAACGGCACATGGGCGGCAAAACCGCAGCAAAACACAGGCGGAGCAGCTGTTCGCCCAGCAGCCGATACACAAACCCAGCACCGGCGCTTTCTGATGACGTCACCAAAGGGTCGCTGCGCTCGGGACCAATCAAAAGGTCGGACATGTTGAACAAATGGACTTCGTGTTGGTCTGAAGTGAAGAGCTTTCATTTCACCTGTAAGAGTGAATGTATGAAAACACAGTGTTTCATAGAAGACTCTTTATTCGTTTTTTCTCGTTTCATTTATTTTCTTGTCTGTGTTTAAGTTATATAACTATCTACATTATACGCTCTGTTATTTATAGGGCCAAAATGTGACACCATTGAATTGCCATATGTCAATATATCATATACGTCATATATCAATAAAGAAGAAAAAGATATGGATCTTTAAACTCAAAGAAAGAACACTGTTTACATCAGATTAGCTCATTTCAGTTACACCTAGAGAGTCAAAGCAGATCAGCTGAAAATGCATAAATACGACATT